AAAAAAAAAAAAAAAACATACAGCTAAGGTCTGGGGAATTTAAACCCCATAATATCCAAAATACAAAACAATTTGACAGATTGGGAACAGTGAGTGAAAATCAAAAAATCTTGATGAAGATCATGTCCTAATCTAGCCATTGCATCAGCCGCCATGTTCGATTGACAGAAAATATGGTTGATATCAACATGCAGAAGTTGCTGCATCAATTCCCTGCAATCCAAAACAAGGGAGGAAAGAGAATGTTTAGGAGAGGAAGCACCAAATATGAGTTGATGAGTGGCAATGCTAGAGCCAATCTCAATTTTCACGTGAGTAAAATTGTTAGCCACAGCAAACCGCAAACCGTCTCTAAGAGCCCAAAGTTCTACAGCTAAACTGTTGGTAGTACCAATAAGGCATGTAAATCCCGCAACCCAATTGCCATTAGGATCACGAAATGAACCACTAGCTGTAGCCTGCCCCATCTCCTCGAGGACAGAGCCATCTGCATTGAGCTTAAGAAAGGGGGGCAGGGGAGCGACCAACTATAGGAGATGGAAGCATTGGTTTTAAGTGGAGGAATGGGCCTTGCTGCCCAGAATTCTACTATTTTTTTAGAAATAATATTGACAGCAGCAGTTTCAGAAAGGGGGTTAGGCTTATGAACAAAGTGGTTTCTGTCCAACCAAGTTCTCCACAATGCAAAACAAAAGGTAACTCCCCAAGGAATGTGCAAGAGAGCAGAATGATCCATGCATTGACCGTTGTGCTTCAGCCAAGAGAGGCGCCTGGGAGGATCCTGTTGAAAATAGAGAGGGACGCTCGGCAGGAAAGGACCAGGTGTTTAACAGTCTCATCCTCCAAAAATGAATTGTACTTGACAAAGATCATTCTTCAATTGTTGAGCTTGTAGTGTCAAGATATTAAAATTTATAAATTTATTAAGGTAAAGATAGTTTAAAAAAAAGCTTTTACCCGTTCATTGGATGTTCAAGCCACTACCTTGCCTTGCCCAGCCCAGGCCTCAGGCTAATCGTATTTACGTGACTTTTTGGGGCTTTGAGCCAGTGTTTAACGTGGACCATACTTCGAGTTCTTGGCAATTCTTGGATTGTCTGAGGTTTGAGCCCAGTTCCAGCATCCGTTTGGGCTTTCTTTTGGTGAACTGTCTGTGCGTTTTTTTTATATTTTGGACCAACTCATATGCTCCTAACTAGTTAAAGTTTGATTAACTAGGTTTTATTATTATTATTATTATTATTATTATTATTATAAGAGTAATGGTTAGAAAGTTAGTTTGAATTAGTTGTTAGCAACTGGGAATTCGATCCCCAAATCGAGTGAACATTCCACCCCTCAAATGAAGCGCGCGGTCATCGGGCCGCTTTTTGGTGGAGTTCACAATAGTGGTAGAATTTGAAACTCCGACCACCTTACCCAAATAATTAAGACTTGGGGTCGAACCATTGAGCCTAAAGACCCGATTTGTTTGATTAACTAGTTGTTATTCGTCAGTTTGTAGCTCAATCGATCCATAAGTTACATATTCCATAACTCCCAACTTTGATTGCTAGGGACAAAATGAAATGGTAGCTCCACCATAGAAAGACAATCTTTTCTTTGTGGTGGAGGTCGAGATGATGTTTTAAGTTTAATTCTAACCCTACGAAACTTAAACATTTCCACTTCTTTGCTTTGGTGA